TTACGGGTTTATTTAGTATTGTTGCAAGTTTCTACTTTAGGGCGTGTATTTTCAGTATTTTCTTTCTAAAGTGTTTTGATTGTGAAATTATTCCACTGATCAGCTTAGAAATAATCCAGTGAAGAAACGATGAAACAATTTTGAATCTTATCTTATTTTGAAACTTATTTTACACAGGGGTGTATTCACTTCTGTTGTATTGTGTATAACACACTCCAGACTCCGTAAAAAATCCACACTGATAGCAAGAAAGACTTAACTCGGTGTGCACATCTCTACACAGGAACACAAAACCGTATGTGAAGATGCTTTTTGAAAATTCAATTTCTCATGCCACTTAGTATTAAAGCTAGGAACATTTTTGGCAAACTAATTTGATAATGATTATAAATAAAATAAATCAGTTTTCACTCTGGGACATGTGTAGTCAGCCAGGTTAAGTCTTATTACTGGAACTAGACTGTAAGACTTTGGCAGATGTTCTCTCTTCCAGCAAAACACACACACACCCACAGAGTTGTGTTTGGTTTTAAAAAAAAAAAGAAAAAATAAATGGTCATTAATAGTGTTTGACAGTTGTTGACGATGACTCTGAGTGCAGCGTCTGAGAACTTCTCTGTTGTACAACAAGGATCAGCTATGTTTGTTTTCCCTGAGAAATGCAGATATCATGTGCAGTCACAAAGTATTCTGTTACTTTGTGTTAACTTCAGGGTTCATCGGGTTTATATTTATAGTCAATCCCTGTAATATATTTAAAATAAGTTTTAAAAAGTTTATAGTTTAATCGAGAAACTGGCTGATACCACTGGCTGCCATTTTTTCCTTACTTTTTCCTTCATCCTTCTAATTTGGAAATCATTTACAAAAGACATTTACTGTACAAAGTCTCTCTAGTGTCTTCATCATTATGCATGGTCAGACAAGAATCTTTGGAAGACTGACAAAATGAATTGAGTTAGGTTATTGTTCCAATTGATTCAGTGTCCTGAGATCTTGTGAAACATATCTTTCCATGACTGGTGAATTTAATTAAATGGAAGTCTTGAGCATTAGTAGTATATCATCAGCAAACAAGCACTTGTCCTCTTTTCTACCCCAAAAAGTGGTTCCAGTGCTATTACAGATAGCAGCAGAGAGAGTCAAAACTAGTTAAAATCTCAAACATAATAAAGAGGAACCCTCACAACAGTCAGTGAACTTTGCTCGTACTACCACAACTCCTCACAGAAAGATGATTAAATGCAAACCTGGAATCTGGAGATAGTGCTAACCGTTGCATCACTGTGCTGCCCTGCCAATTGACCCATTAGTTTGGGCAGAAAACAGATAGCGGCAGCACTTCTTCAGAATCACTTTATTTTTATTTTCAGGTCTTACAAAGGAAAGCTTGAAATACCCATTTATACACATATTCAGTTCTAAAATTCCATTTGGCAGACACTTTTATCCAAAGCAATTTACATCTGAGAGTAGATACAACACAAGCAATGATCTAGCTTGGAGAAAACAACCTGGATAAGTGCCATAGAACAAGTTCAAGGGTGATAGGACATTGGTGTCTTCAGGCAGTGTGGGAGATGACTTTAAGACGAACAAAAACAAGCCAAAAAATACAACTTTTTATGTCATAAAGTGTCTGCAACCTTGTCCAGCCAAGTATCTGTGGAACTAGGGCAGCGTCCCACATTCCCTTCTTATTATTCCTATTCCCTTAGATATGAATCATCTTCATAATTGATTTTGTTATTTTCTGGAGGGGGGGCACTTATATCAACTGTAAACATGTACAATTAGTCACACCACCAGCCAGCTTGGGAGGAAATCTTGGTACAACACACATACACATGATTCAGTCCCGCTCCAAACTGTGGTGCTGTGTCATGCTCCCCTCATACCCCTTCCTGTAAATTCCTAATAACATTTAGCAAGAACATAACGACAATAATATACTGAAGAAGAGATAAATCTAAAGAGTGAAGAAGATAAACAATGTGATTCACAGGATTGTCAGCAGGCCGTTGTGCTTTGACTCACTCTCCAGAATCTCCATTAACCCAGATTAACTCAAGTGTCATCAGATAAACATATAGCTGTGGTCACATGCAAATACCCAGTGAGGTCCTGACCCATAAGTCATCGGATATGTGTGGGTTGTTTCTCTGCAGTCATTAAGAGAGGTTATATTTGAACCGTCAGTAGTATGTTTACAGAGTGTTCAGGATGACTGCTTTGCTTCTTCTTGTGGTTCATACAAAGCCACCAGTTAGTTTGATTGTAAGTTTTTGATGTCTTTGGTAAGACAGGAATTGATGATTACAGCTGGGATTAGTAAGGAAGGATCCATCTTCATATCAAGCTCTTGACTTCTACTATCATGTTTTTTTTACAGAATTTTGTGAAAACATTGAAAACATGCTTGTGAATTTTTAATCGAGACATATAATATAAAGTGATTTTGATAAAATTTTACAATTTTAAGCTCAGATTTAGCTAAGTATCCTGATGGAAACACACACCACAGATGAGTAGTTCAAGGACCACCAGAACACTGTCAGTCTGATGCTTCTTCCTGCTTTTACATACTCTGACTATCTTAATGGTGTCATTTAAGCGATTTGTAGAAATTAACATGCCTTATAAACCTGCCACTTCTAAACCTGCCAGCTGGATTTGGGGTTCAGAGGATTAACCAACCACCGCTTCAGAATACTGAAAAAATGCAAGACTTTACAGATCACCCTTTGACAAGAGGTTGTGGACTGTAGTGCACACTGTGGGCACATATAAGACTCCTCTTTAACTCGTTGCCTTTTTTTCTCTTTCCTGCAGCTTTACAAGAACCTGTGGTCGACAGTGATGCAGGGCAGCCAGGTGCTGGAACGTCCATCCTGGTGGAAAGAGTTCTCCTCAGACAAACCTGTGGTTGGATCCCTCCGTCCAAAACTCTAGAATCTAGACACTGCTGGGGATCCCAACAATGCAAAATGAAAGGTTTTTGCCAAATGCCACCCAATGCAGTAGGTGATGAGCCCCTAGGTTTGGGGCTGTCAGACGAATAAATGAATGAATAAAAAAGTTTGATGATGATAGCAAGAATAAACGTTTCACTTGATTTATACTCTAAACAGGAATTTCACTTGCTGCAGATCAAAAGATAATGTTAATAATCATTAGCTGCAGAAGTGGAAGTTTCAAGCAGATTTCTGCTTTTAATATTTTCTTGGTCAGTTGTTAGACTTGATGTGGTTTCTCTAAAGCTAAAGGCCTTTTTGACACACTTCCTGCCAATCATTGCACATTTAAATTCATATTATCCCATGTTGGAGCGAATATAAATTTCTCCAAACATGTGAAGCTTTCGAGCTGAATAAACACCCAAGATTTGAATGTAGTTTGTATTTGAATGGAATAAATTGTATTTTTTAATGAATATGAAAACTGTTTTACTGTAGATGATGTACTGTCATGTAAACATATAAAGAAAGATTAGTGTTGGAAAATTATATTATTATAAACATACTGTCTAAATAAATTTACTAAAATTTCTTCTTTTGTAATAAGTTCTTTTCAGACACTTATTTTTTTATATAATTTTTCTTAATGCTTGACTTGATTTAATCAAGCCTGTATATGCTTTGCCATTTACATTACTGACCATTTTCCTGCAAGTGGCACTGTAACTTCATCTACATTTCAGGGATCCATTCATCACCTTTTTTGACACAACTGAACAAACAAACATTTGGTCCTCTTTGAACCAGTGCCTACAGATGTTGGTGATAAACAAATAACAATATAAATGGGAGCAAAAACAATTATGTTGTGTTGATATTTTTTGTTCAGTGTATTTAGATTTTTGCTTTCAGCCTGGCTTGGAGAGTCTATGCATAGCACTGTTACAAAAGCATTTGGATCATTAATACTTAAATAACCAAAAATAAAAGTATTTATTTTGCAGAGTGGCATATTTAAGAATACTTTATCAGACTGAATTATACCGAGTGGAACACCGCCAAGATTGTAGCATATTGAGAGCTCTCCCTACCATTGCTAAATTAATAACCTAAAACACTCCCAAAAATTAAGAACTTTCTTTAGAACTGAATTTAAACAAAGGGGATAGCAATGGATATCAAGCATAAAGGAAAAAAACACGCAAAACAACCAGAAACACTCGAGGAGGAACATAACCATCTTTGAAGCTACTTGCCAGCTAGCAAAACCACAGCAGGAGCTATGCTAACACCTGCCGAAGAGATTGACTTGCAAATGATTCTGTGGGAGCTAAGGGGCTTTCGCCAGGAAAATAAAGAGCAGCTTGAGGACATTAAGAGAGACATAATAAAAAAGAACATCAGATTGGGTGAAGCCGAAAAACGAACTGTGGAAGGAGAAGAGAGAATTTAAAACACAGAAGATATTCTGACCGAAATGCTAAACCTACAAATGCAACTGCACTGAACAAAGATATAAACACAACACTTGTTTTTGCTCCCATTTTCATGAGCTGAACTCAAAAATCGAAGACTTTTTCTATTTATGTAAAAGGCAATTACTCCCAAATATCGTTAAAATCACTAATTTGTCTAAATCTGTAGCACTTTTCCTTTGCCGAAATAATTCATCCACCTCACAGGTGTGGCATATCAAGATGCTGATTCGACAGNCCATATATAGCCATATGACTGTTGTTAAAACACATGAATGAGTGTAACCCTGAAATTGTTTTCCTGAGGAGATAAAGCAGCTGGTAAGGATGTCCTCAATGTTAGTGTTTTATCCAATTGAGCTTCACACGTCTCCTGGAAAACTCCACCTGAAACAGGGCTGGATCCAGAGGGGTTAAAATTTAAACTTTGTCATAGGACTAAACATGATACATCATTGGAAAGGACTTGATCAGGGGAGTAAGATTATGTCAGTCTGGAAGTTCGAAGTTGCTCTTGCTCAGAGATATTGACCTTTAAACTTTGACTTTGGTGCATCTTTTAAAGCTTCCAATTCAACAATGAAAGGGGCTAGAATCATGGGACCTGTTCTACACTGTTATACAAAGCTATTGACTTCTACTATCATGTAGGCTGTGGCTTGATGTTCTCACCAGCAGGGGGCATCACAAAATGTGCTAAAAACGTAATTTCACCTATATATATAAATTTCATTTGTGAAGTCAGTCCAAATAAACGTATTCGTCATCAATTTAAACTCCTAAATGCACTTAAAGTTTTATATTTCACCCTACATTTAGTAGAAATGGCTATTTTGAAGAAAGAAATTTAGCCTTGTGCTAAATCCGGCGTATTTACTTCAACCTGAGATTGTATGTACATTAATACGCACTGTCCCATCTAAAAAAAAAAAAAACAAATCAAATTTTAAATAAAATTTTAAAAAAAGAACTAAAACGTCCAGTAGCGTTACAGTACAATGTGATTGGACACCATGAAGTATGTAGTTGTTCTTGGGGTTTACAACTAGGCTTGCGTTTTTGTATTAATAAACTAAAATATACGGATTGAAGTACTGACAAATGTGCAACTGTTAAAGTATAATACGTGTACTATGAAATAAGTGTCAAAGAGTACATCGTATTGTGGTATTATTTTGTGTTTTTACTACACGGCAGTGTTTAGGGGAAATTTGCGCTCATTGCTAAGGCAATCTTGTTAGTGTCGGTACACAGCCTCGCCGTACACCTGGAAGAGATCTGTCCAACAGAGTCTGTAATGTGATTGTGTGTACAGTAGGTGGTGGTAATGCACCTGAACGTTGCATGCCAACCGCCAAATTAATCGAAGAAGCAGCAGCAGCTACGCTAGGCTAGTAGCTAATGTAGCCAACCTCGACGAGCTAGCTAAAAGCTTCACAAAGCTACAGATACATTCCCCACCACTGGCCTCTCGGTTACAATAGTCAGACTATCCATCGCTGCGATCACAGTACATCTTCCAGTTGCCATTTTCCTGCATGTGCCCTTTTCAGAGTTGTGTTCCTTTACAGAGAAATGAAAGTAATGACGAGCATGTAGCCCAAACACAGTAAAAGCACTTATATTTGATCACAAATAAACAATAATAGCTATGAACGATATGTTAGGATCACTTTCAGAGTGATCTGAGAACAGCTTCTGCTTCTCTCTGCCTGGATGTATTTCTTGTCTTTTCTATTTGAATGAATACATAGTTTATATGCAGCTCCGGTGTTTACACAATGGTAACATTGGTCAGTGTTGGCGCACACATCTTTATTGTGATCTCTATAGTTATTAGTGGGGAGTGGGGTGTGGGGATACTCACAAGCCCCCCGCTGAGCACCGCCTTGTTGGAGTTGTCTCCGAAGAACGAGAGGGTCGCCTCTCTGCGACTGCATGTTGCAGAGGGGAAAACTCTGACTGTCATTTGTGCTTATGCACCAAACGACAGTTCAGAGTATCCAGCCTTCTTGGAGTCATTGGGTGGTGTCCTGGAAGGGGTGCCACCTGGGGACTTCATAGTTCTCCAGAGGGACTTCAATGCTCACATGGGCAATGACAGTCAAACCTAGAGGGGCATGATTGGGAGGAATGGCCTGCCTGACCTGAACTTGAGCAGTGCTTTGTTTGTGGCTATCTGTGCTAGCCATGGATTGGCCATAACAAACACCATGTTCAAACATAAGGTTGCTCATAAGTGTACTTGGTATCAGAGTACCTTAGGCCAAAGGTCAATGATCGACTTTGTACTCATATCATCAGATCTGTGGCCGTATGTTTTGGACACTCGGGTGAAGAGAGGAACAGAGCTGTCAACTGGTGAGTTGGATCCAATGGCGGAGACGGCTGCCGGACAGACCTGGTAAACCCAAACATGTAGTGAGGGTGAACTGGGAACGTCTGGCGGAGGACCCGGTCTGTGGGGTTTTCAATTCCCACCTCCGGAAGAGTTTCTCCTGCATCCCAGGAGAGGTTGGGGACATGGAGTCAGAGTGGGCCATGTTCAACACCTCCATCGCAGAGGTGGCCGTTCAGAGCTGTGGCCAGAAGGTCACTGGTGTCTGTTGTGGCGGACATTGTCGGACTGTCATGGCTGACATGTCTCTTCAATGTCGCGTGGGCTTCTGGTACGGTGCCTGTGGAGTGGCAGACTGGGGTGGTGGTTCCCATTTTCAAAAAGGGGGACCGGAGAGTGTGTGCAAATTATCGGGGCATCAAACTTCTTAGCCTCCCTGGTAAAGTTTACACTAGGGTGCTGGAAACAAGGCTCCAACCAATTCTCGAACCTCGGATTCAGGAGGAGCAATGCGGATTCCATCCTGGTCGTGGAACAGTGGACCAGCAAGGGACTTTAAGTATCTCAGGATCTTGTTTACGAGTGACAGGAAAATGGAGCGCAAGGTGGACAGGTGACTTGGTTTGGTGGCAGCAGTAATGCGGGCGCTGTACCGGACCATCGTGGTGAAGAGGGAGCTGAGCCACAAGGCAAAGCTCTCAATTTACCAGTTCATCTATGTCCCAACCTTCACCTATGGTCACGAGCTTTGGGTCGTGACCGAAAGTACGAGATCGCGGATACAAACGGCCGAAATGAGCTTCCTCCGCACGATGGGTGGGCTAAGCCTTAGAGATAGGGTGAGAAGCTCGGAGTAGAGCGCTGATCCTGTGCGTTAAAAGGAGCCAGTTGAGGTGATATGGAAATCAGATTCGGATGCATCCGGAGAGGCTTCCTCTGGGGGTTTTCCGAACACGTCCACCTGTGAGGAGACCCCGGGGTATACCTAGAACCCGCTGGAGGGATTATATCTCTCGGCTGGCCTGGGAACGCCTCGGGATCCCCCAGGAAGAGCTGGGGGATGGATGAATGGATGCAGTTCAGCCCAGTTCAGTCAAAAATACGATTGTTGGTTACAACAGAGTCACTAGTAGCTTCACAGCTGCGCAGAGAAGCCCTGACATTTTGGGGGTTTTTTTTACAGAATTTTGTGAAAACATTGAAAACATGCTTGTGAATTTTTAATCGAGACATATAATATAAAGTGATTTTGATAAAATTTTACAATTTTAAGCTCAGATTTAGCTAAGTATCCTGATGGAAACACACACCACAGATGAGTAGTTCAAGGACCACCAGAACACTGTCAGTCTGATGCTTCTTCCTGCTTTTACATCCTCTGACTATCTTAATGGTGTCATTTAAGCGATTTGTAGAAATTAACATGCCTGCTAAACCTGCCACTTCTAAACCTGCCAGCTGGATTTGGGGTTCAGAGGATTAACCAACCACCGCTTCAGAATACTGAAAAAATGCAAGACTTTACAGATCACCCTTTGACAAGAGGTTGTGGACTGTAGTGCACACTGTGGGCACATATAAGACTCCTCTTTAACTCGTTGCCTTTTTTTCTCTTTCCTGCAGCTTTACAAGAACCTGTGGTCGACAGTGATGCAGGGCAGCCAGGTGCTGGAACGTCCATCCTGGTGGAAAGAGTTCTCCTCAGACAAACCTGTGGTTGGATCCCTCCGTCCAAAACTCTAGAATCTAGACACTGCTGGGGATCCCAACAATGCAAAATGAAAGGTTTT